TGAACACTTTTCATGAGCCCAGCAGTGTTCTGGGTGCTAAGGTTCTATATAGCCATGCCCTCAGGGACCTCCACTGAATGGGAACATTAGATATTATGCCAATAATTCCATAATTGTAATTGGCACTGCAAAGGAGAAATGCAGGGTACAAGGAAGGCATAAAACAGGTCTGACCTTAGTTTCTTAACATGTAACAGAAATGCCACAAGTGGCTGGCTTTAACAAACAGAAGTTTAGTTTTTCACAGTTCAGCAGGCTAGAAATCTGAATTCAGGACACCAGCCCTAAAACAAAACAAAACTCATTGTCTCCGAGTCGATTTCAACATACTATAGGATCCTATAGGAACTAACAGAACTTCATGCCCAAGAGGATGCAGGCAGTAAGGAAGATGGTGCCTGGCAATCTGTGGATCACAGTGGATCACAGTGGTCCAATCTCATTGCGCATGGGAATCCTCACTCAATGGAAACTACAACAATAACCTATGTCTAACTGGAAAGGGTATGGACCACAGGTTTAAGATTCTAGAGATGGAGCTGTACTGGCAATGGGATGGGACTTCAAATGAGTTTCTCCTTTAGTATGTGGAGTTTAAGGTCAGCCCATTTTTCCTTGAAGCCCAAAGCATCTGTTTGGAAGCAGGGCTATGATAAGCATGGTTGCTGTTGTTGTTAAGTGTCATCTAGTTGGTTCCAATCCATAGTGACCCTTATAGGATTTCTGAGGAGTGGCTGGTGAGCTTGAACTGCCAATCTTGCCATTCAAACCGACTTTGCAGTCCAGTGTCTTAACACCCAATGCCACACCAGGACTCCATGATGAGCATTAAGAACCTCCGATTGTGTGGCGCTGTGTGCTAATGTGCTAGACTTGCAAAGACAGTTTGAACCACAAGGTTGGTGGTTCAAGTTCACCAACCACTCCCTGGAAACTCTATACAAGGTTGCTACGGGTCAGAACCGACTCAGCAGCACTTAAAAACAACAAATTTTACAAAATGGGAATCCTGGTGTGACTCTGTATGGTCAGCAGTTTAAACCCATCATCAGCTGCTCCTTGGAAACCCTACATAGGGTTGCTATGAGTCAGAACTGACTCAACAGCACTCAACAACAACAACAACACTTTACAAAATACTTTCTCCTGTATTATCTCTGTACTTAACTGTGGTATTTGGGGAAAACATACAGCAGCTGTTATCTTCATTCAATGCGTAGAAGTATGGCAAGTTTGTGATTTATTCATAGTCACACAACTATAAATGAGGACTTTACTCAAGTTCCTCCAATTCCAGCACAAGGGTCTTCTTATTTCACCATGTTATCTTACACATGATTAGGGCAAACTCTCCACCAATTCTTGGAGCTTCCATGTTAGATGGAGTCTCACAATTTGTTCAATATAAATTTATTTCTGTATTCTATTCAAGTGCCTAAGGAACCCTGGTGGCATAGTGTTCTATGAATTGAGCTGATTACCACAGGTCTGCAGTTCAAATCCACCAGCTGCTGTTCAGGAGAAAGATGAGGCTTTCTGCTCCTATAAAGATTTACAGTCTTGGAAACCCTATACAGAGTCACTATGAGTCATAACTGACTTCACTCACCCACCACAATCATGACCCTATTTTTAAAAAATATTGCAAACTATTTGCATTATATGAATATTTATAACACTTTTTTTTTCTTTTTCTAAGAATGAAATTTTAAGGACAGATTAAAGTTCAGGCAGTCCCTGGATTATGAATGAGATCTGTTCCTAATGTGTCTTTAAGAATTTTTATTTCAGTTGGTCAGAACAGGTGCATATGGTTCATATTTAGCCTTTAGTGTAAGAATTTAGCCTTGGTGGCACAGTGGATTAAGCATCCAACTGCTAACCAGATGCTTCATGGGAGAGAGATGAGGCAGTCTTCTTCTGTAAAGATGTAGTCTTGGAATCCCTATGGAGCAATTCTACTGTGCCCAGTGAGGTCACTATGGGTCACAATCAGTTCCACAGCAGAGGGTTTTGGTTAGTGCAAGAAAAGACTCAAAGCCTTTTCAATGATTTAAAGGCTGCATGTGCAGCAAGTGAAGGTGATTGTGATGAAGAATTTGTTGCAAGTAAAGGTTAATTCAGTCTTTTCAAAATAAAGACAACTTTCAATAATTTTAAAGAAATTTCAATAATATTAAAGAAAATGTCCACTCCCCCTCTGTCAGCTTGTCATATTGTGTTGGCTTGCATGTTGCAAGACAAGTTGTGGGATAACATCAGTGACATCATATACGAAGAGAGCAACAAGTTATTGAAAAAAAAAAAAAAGACAAGAAAGAAAGAAAAAAACAAAATGGATCTGAGAAAGACTCTGAAAATTGCTCTTGAAATTAAAGTGAAAGGAAGAAATGATGAAGTAAAAGATCTGAACAGAAGATTTCAATGACAGCTCGAGAAGACAAAGTATTATAATGAAATGTGCAAAGGCCTGGAGTTAGAAAACCAAAAGGGAAGGAGAAAATGCTCAGCTTTACTCAAGCTGAAAGAACTGAAGGAAAAATTCATGTGACAACTTGGAATATTCAAGGATTTTATGTGCAAAATTTTGAACGATGCAAGAAGCATCAAAAGAAGATGGAAAGGTTACACAGAGTCATTGTACCAAAAATTGCTGGTTGACATTCAACCACTTCAGGATGTAGCATTCAACCATTTCAGGATATAAGCAAGACCAATGGTACTGAAGGGAGAAGTCCAAGCTGCACTGAAGACATTGTTGGAAAACAAGGCTTCAGGAATTGATGGATTACCAGCTGAGATGTTTAAACAAACAGATGCAATGCTGGAAATGCTCGCTCATCTGTGTCAAGAAATTTAGAAGACAGCTAACTGCCCTACCAACTGGAGGAGATCCATACGAGTACCCATTCCAAAGAAAGGTGAACAAACAGAATGGGGGGATTATTATTCAGAAGCAGATATGGAACAAGGCATATCATTGCTAATGTCAGATACATCTTGGCTGAAAGCAGAGAATACTGGAAAGATGTTTATTTGTAACTGTGCAAAGGCTTTCAGCTGAATGGATCATGACAAGTTTTGCATAACGTTGTGAAGAGTAAGTATTTCAGAACATGTGATTATGCTCATGAGGAACCAGTACAAAGACCAAGAGGCTTGATTTAAACAAAACAAGGGGATACTAAATGGTTTAAAATCAGGAAAGGTATGCAACAGGGTTGTTTCCTTTCACCATACTTATTCAGTCTGTGTGCTGAACAAATAATCCGAGAGGCTGGATTATATGAAGAAGAGCATGGCATCAGGTTTAGAAGAAGACTCATTAACAACCTGCGATATGCAAATGATACAACGTTGCTTGCTGAAAGTGAAGAGTACTTAAAATACTTACTGATGAAGCTAAAAGACTACAGCCTTCAATATAGATTGCACCTCAACTGACTGAAACCAAAAATCTTCACCACTGTACCAATAAATAACATTATGACAAATGGAGAAAAGATTAACGTTATCAAAGACTTAATTTTCTTGGATTCAGAATCAACACTCATGGAAGCAGGAGTCAAGAAATCAAATGATTTATTGTAATAGGCAATTCTGCTGCACAAGACCACATTTAAGTGTTAGTGAACAGATATACTAGTTTGAGGACTAAAGTGTGTCTGACCCACGCCACAGTATTTTCAGTTGTCTCATATGCATGTGAAAGTTGGGCAATGAATAAGGAAGGCCAACTTTATAGCATCTAACAACAAGAAGAACTGGGATAGGGAAGGAGAAAACATCGAAAGATCTCTTTAAAGTTTTAAAATGCAGAAGTGTCACTTTGAAGATGCTATTTTAAGTCACCTCATATGCATATGAAAGCTGGACAATGAATAGGAAGACAGAAGAGAAATTGAAGCCTTTGAATTATAATGTTGGTGAAGAATATTGACTATCCCTTGAACTGCCAGAAGAAAGAACGAAACAGTCTTGGAAGAAGTACAACCAGAGTTCTCCTTACAAATGAAGATAGCAAAACTTCCTCTCGCTTTTGACATGTAATTTAGGAACGGACAAACCATGGAGAAAGATATCATGGTTGGTAGAGGGTCAGTGAAAAAGAGGAAGACTTCATGAGATGGGCTGACGCAGTGGTTGCAATAATGGGCTGAAGCATAGCAATGATTGTGAGGGTGATGCAGGCCGGCTCAGTGCTTCATTGTGTTGTACATCAGGTTGCTATGGGTTGGAACTGACATGAAAGCACCTAACAAATAACAAAAAAGGGCAAGTATAAGTTGTCCATAAGTCCAACATTCATAACCTGGGAACTTATTTGTAGTAGAGAGACAATCATCTGAGACAAATTAAACTAATAGATTTTTTTTTTTGCCTAAAATCTAATCATTTATAAAACGTGATAAGACCTCTGCATTTTCAGTCTCTATTCCCAAATGTTCCCCTAAAGTAGTGTTGGTGGTGTGCCACTGAGTGGTTCCAACTCATAATGACCCTGTATAGAGTTACCAAGGCTGTAAATCTTTATGGGAGCAGAAAGCCCCATCTTTCTCTTGCAGAGTGACTGGTAGATCCAAACTACTGACCTTGAAGTTAGCAGCCTAGCTCATAATCTATTACGCAGTAAATAATAAACATGATTCAGCATCTCCTTCCTATTCTCATGCCACCCCATGGAATCATCTGTGATTCTGAGAAAGTCGGATGGCCAAGCTGTCCCAGACACAGAAGGAGCAGGAAAATCTTTGCTACCAGGCTGTCTTATTAATTTATCTTCTCCTTTCCCTTGAGGCTTTAAAGATGCTTACAATTATGTGAAAAGGTAAAGTTACTTTATTTCAGAGAGTGTAATTTAACTGTATCAATTCTGGTTTGTCACAAAAAAAATATAGATCCAGGGAAAACATATAACCCTTTACACAGTGCTGAATTATAGTTCTCTATCATATACCCTGAACCTAACTACTATTGTTTATCCTTCTCCTTCCCAAAAGCTCCTGGACTGTTTTGTGATCCCGGTGGTGATTTTGCTCTCCTGGTTTTTCCTACTGATCCGGTACAAGGCTGTGCATTTCGTTGGAATCGTTGTCTGTATCCTGGGCATGGGCTGCATGGCTGGAGCAGATGTTCTTGTGGGAAGGCATCAGGGAGCAGGTGAGATTCCAGGTGTTCACCAGTGATTTATCTCTGTGGGTAAGTCCAAGGCAAGAAATAGAATGTTCAATGTTGCCTAGAAAAAAGGGTTTTAGGGCCCTGGTTTTCCCAATATGTGTCTCTGACTCATAGTTACCCCCATGTCTGTACTAGGAGGCTTCTTGGTAGCCAAACAGTTAAGCACACTGCTGCTGACCAAAAGTTTGGAGGTTTGAATTTATCCAGTAATTTGTGG